CCAGAGGCTCCCTGGAGTGCAGAGGCCTCCTTATTGACATCCATGCCTTGAACAGTTTTTTAATCATTGTGAATTTAGTATTTGTTTGTAAATACTTCTTCATTTTCTATTACTGCAATTCTTCTACCTGCTTTGAAGAAATCTTCCATCAATCTATAAGAGAAAATTGCCTCCTTACAATCCTGACCAATATCACTGCTGCCATGATTTGTAGTTGTATTGTTGTCTTTGATATGAATTCTTTCTTGGAAAAACAGGAGGTTTTCTGCTAGCTCCTGGTCTTTGTGCTTGGGAAGGCATAATCCAAGCACAATGAATTCGAATTCCTTGCTGCAGGAGGTTGGGTGATCACATTTGATTCTGTAACAGAGGGGTTTTTTTAGCCTATGTTCCACAGGTTCAAGACTCCCAAACTGTGCTTGTATGCCATGTTCATAAGTGTATAGCTTTCTTTCATCAGATTTGCAAGGATATGTCACCTAACAAAGAAGAGAAACACCACAGCCTGTGCCTTTCTGTGCTTCCTTCTTTCTTCGTATGTGTGCATTTGTGCTTGGGCTAGGTCATGTGCAGAGCAGCATTTGCACCAGTCCTCACTCTGACAGTGCTTTTTGGCTGAGAAACCCCATACCATTACTGCTGCCCTTCTTAGAATATGAAAAAAATTAGGTAATCCATCGGATATAGAATTACAGTATGAGGAAATCAGGCCACATTCTCATGCATATCTGTTTTAGAGTTGTCATGCAATGATGAGATTGTTCTACACTGAATGGTAAGTGAAGCCTCTGTTTAGAAAGAGATTTCTGCATTTTACTTTGTGTGCTGCAAAGCATTACATCATACAGCCATATAGCCTGACACGTTCTTTGCATAACTTTCTATGTTAGTAATGACATTGGTTCAAGTTTAGACAAGTGAACATTGCAGGGATGGTTGTAAAAATACTTGTTATATAAGAAAGCATTTCCCTACTCATTTGGTCACTTTGCCTGCCTAAGTTATTTTCTTGATAGCATATTTCTAAAAAAATAAATCCTGCTCTGTAATATACTGGAATTATTGATTGAAATAAATTATTCACATGGATAAAACATTCAAAATCTTAACGTTCTGCTACTAAAGTAGTTACCAATTGTGTTCCATTTAAAATTACTAATAACACACTTTGCAAATTATGTGTGTATGTATGTGCATGCATGTGTGTTTCTATATAAACAATCAAATACATGGCACGCATATTTCATTTTGTCTTTTGGAGAAAGTAGCTTCAGACATCTAATCCCCCTCAACTCAATGGAGTATTTTTATGTGATTTTAATATTGGTAAGCTGAAACATATGATTACTATTTTATATGTGGTGGAAAATTCCCCGAATTCATGCCTGCAAATATAAACCACTTGCTATTTCCTTATATTTAAGAAGGTTTCTGAATTTTCAACACAGGCAAGATGAACTCCTTATTAAATATTCAGGTTAAGCTGTATTTACACATATAAGCAAAAATTAGGTCTGAAAATATTTGGTATATTCTCTTTTGGTGTGTGTGTGTGTGTGTGTGTGTGTGTGTGTGTGTGTGTGTGTGTGTGTTTACTTGATTTTTCCACTGATACTGATTTCATTTGTTCAAATGTAATAATTTGGTTTAATTGTAAGGAGAAATGAAAGCATTTGAGAATAGCTACGGTGTGACACTAATGAAGTGCAGAAGAGGCTAAGTCTTATTTTTAGTAAGGATTTAGAAAAATGTTTAGTAAGAGCAATGGAACCATAGGTGTAGCAGATGTAATTCTAAAGTATGGCTGGTGCTCACAGAAACTATAGCAGGGTGTTTCTTTGAAACAGTGCAAACATCAGAGTGATGCCATGCAGACTAAGCCCACACTGCAAAGCCAAAGCTCTGAGGCATGTTTTACCTTTGAAAAAAACAGGATTAGAGAAGTCATTGCCAACCTCCATCAGCAAATGGCATGACTGTGGAGTTCATCTTGCCTTCTTACAGAGCAAGGCTACCCAAAGAAACCTGATATTGAGAAGTTATTTTTCTTGGTTGTATTTATATGATTCATAGAAAGAAAGTAACAGCAGTTTCTCTCTCTCTCTCTCTCTCTCTCTCTCTCTCTCTCTCTCTCTCTCTCTTTCTCTCTCTCTCGATATGTAGACTGTCCTGACCTGAGACTTTGTTGCTCAGTCTAGCTTCAAACTCAAGGGTGATTCTTGTACCTCAGCTTCCCTACTGACTGGATTTCAAGTGTGAGCCACTGTGCCTGATTTGGGCTATTTATTTATCTATAAAACTAACTTCTTGCCAGGTGGTAATGGTGCACGCCTTTAATCCCAGAACTTGAGAGGCAGAGGCAAGTGGATCTCCGTGAGTTCGAGGCCAGCCTGGTCTACAAACTGAGTTCTAAAATAGCCAGGACTATTACACAGAGAATCCTTGTCTGGAAAAACGAAAAACAGAGATAAACAATAAAAAACAAACAAAAAAAACAAACAAAAACTAACTTCTTGTGTGGATTGGTTGCAAATTTTATGTTTCATGGAGAGAAACTCCCTTGATCCTGTAATTGAAAGTGAGAGTGTTTAAAATATTAAGAGTCAAATGATGCCATTTGGCTTGGACAATGGTAATGAGAAGGCAGATAATATTCCACTTCACCATGTCAGGCTTTCCATGGGATGAGAAATCAGCCAGGAGATGTGACCAAGCTTCACATTTTTAAGTATTTATTTATATATTATACTAATACTTTTATTATTATTTCCAGGAGCTAAAAATCAGCTATTACCAAATTTGCTTAACCTGTCAAATTTACCCACTCATCAGCAATCTTTTTCCCCCTCTCTCTACTGAATAGTACCATTCGGCTTAGATAAATATTTTTTCTGTTTAATCAAGCAATAATATGTTAGTCATTTGAGAGACTGAAATGAACACAGGAGTCAGTTCTCCACCACCCATTCCATAATGGAATATTGAACTGAGCCAATCAGGGCAGGTGGAAAGTGTTCGGTCCTGTTTGTTTAATGTCAGTACAGGGAACAAGCTGTGAGTCTTTTATTAATCATGGTTTCTGTATTGTATCTAGTAGGTATTCTATAAATAGACATGGAGGAAAGCCACAAAATTGTCATCATATGATGCATTCATTAGTTTGCATTACCTGGAATATGATTGCATGGTTGAGACAACTTTTAAGAAAAGGGATGAATGTTCAGGCAGTTTTAAAGACAATGTAGGTTTAGATTGGTACAATTAGAAAGAGGGGTTACAATGTGGAATGGTGGGAGTGAGTCTGTACCAGGGGATAGAGGAAGGGTGCAGTTTGTGACCCAGTTTATTAGAAAGGAAAAACAAAATGTCTGAAAGTTCCAAACTATACAATTAGAGATAATTGTCTTTATGCCTTCTTTTCTTTGCTCTGAAGGAATGTAATTGTAAAGGATTTTATATCAAGAGACACAATAGCAGTCCTTAATTGATTCAATAAAGGTATATTTCATAATTAATTCCATTTTCCTTCCTTGAATGAGAAAATCTATAGATAGGATTGAACACTAATTTGCATCCTAATATCCAATTTCTCTTCACACCCTCATTCTCCTTGGAGAGTCTGATCTTTTGATAAGGGATGACAATTGGCTCTAAGCAGATAACAATTTTCGTTGCAGTGAAATAGAAAATCTCATTACCAATGCTTGGATCCCTGGAGGTGTGATATTGGAGTTGATAAGGCCATGAGAAGCAATTTTAAAAAATCTATGCAATCTCTTGCACTTTGGGAAATTTAACTAATTGGTTTTCATCTGTTGCTTAATATGTTTCACTGAGGATGATTTCTATCTGAAAGAATTGTCTATAGCAATTCATAGTCATTTTAGCTCTTTCATAAGCTTGTGTTGTCTTAGAGTTCATCTCTGGGAGCCTCCTTGTGTCAGAGCAGAAATGGCTACTAAGTGTTTAAGTTGTGATAAAAAAATAAAAAAAAACTGTATCAAAGATTGCTTCACATAAATTAGTCATTTATTACCACATCTATACATATTTGACATTACCAGATGTTGTCTCATTTTAATCTATCTTGTGATCCTTACGGCGTATTTTTTGTTGTTGTTGTTGTTGTTGTTATTGTTATTTAGATTGTATGCTGAAACTTCATGGGAGGTACAACAAAACCAAACAGAAACAATGTATTTCTCCCTTGGCTACCTAGGAAGTCCCTTTTATAAAATGTGCTCTTAAACTGTCAATTTAGTCATGACTCATTATTTAGAAGTAATAGCAAAATTTCATATAGTTAATAATTAGTTAACAGTAAAATAGAAAAACATGGCAGCCTATTCTCTTCTAAATAAACAGTGGATGACTAATATATACAGAAAATATGTAGAGTTTTTGTGTTGGTGATTTGTTTCATCGATCGGACAGTAGAGAGACTTCTTTTAACCCATTTCTACTCTGGGTAACCATTATGATATTTTTAAGGGAAAAGTGTTATTGTTTCTGGGGAATAACATTTATAAATAACATTATTGCTCTTGGGGACTCTTAACTGTCTCTCTGGCCACGTTAGCTCACGATATTTACACTCCCCTCTCTGTTTTTGTACAAGCTAATGACGTGCATTGTTCAGAAACCTGTTCTTTACTATCTCACTGAGTTGTGCACATTTGCTTGTAGATTGTGTTGCTTAAGGACAAGTGAGAAATCTGCTTAGTTTTACTGACTATGAGGTAACGTGTATAGTGAGCTTATGGTATTGCTTCATGCAGTTAGAAAACTTAATGCTAAGAAATATTTTTTTCTTTTTTATATACAGATAACCAAGGTTTGGACAGTGTTTGTAACTTTTTATTTACTTTTCCTTGGAAAAGTCTCAGAGGAATTGTGTACTTGTCTCAAGGGAGCCAGGCCAGTTCTCCAGAGGAAAATGGCCTCTTTCTGTTGCTCTTTATTAATACTTACCAGCCTCTTCTCTGTCTTCCTTCATTTAGTCAGCAGTCACCAGAGGACCTTGCACGTGTGCCCCCCAACTCCACCAGCAACATCTTAAACAGGCTGCTGGTCAGCTATGATCCCAGGATAAGACCAAACTTCAAAGGTTTGTTGTCTCTGCCTTCCCTCCATTCCCTTCAGTCTTTATCGTTTAAAACTTAATTCTACTTATGTAATACTGGGTTTCTTATGTAAAGAAGGATAGAATTTCAAGTTAACATTTAACTTTCCTGCAGTGTGCTTACTATCAGAGATATTTAATGCTTAAAGTACATTTTTGTTATTAAGAAAAATATTCATTCTAATAGTTTTATATAGTTACCAGTTGAAAATATGAAAAGGTATATCCTGCGAATTAATAGCCTGACCACTAACATGGATTTCTTAAGTACTGTGTGTCCCTAATCTTAGTGAATTAAAGTTTAGGCTCTGGACATTGATGTGGTGTTCGTTAATAGACGTAACAGTTAATAATTCGTACAACCACTTACTCAGGAAAAGTGAACAGTTCTGATTGCATATAAGCTCTTTTATCAGTATATTGTATTTATAAAAAGTACTTCTTTCGCTGAAGGAAAGATGGCCAACTTGTTTTTTAAAAATGCATTAACTTTATGAGTAAAACTTTCTAGAACAAAAGTTATTATTTCAGCAAGATATTACCACTTGTCACAGTTTTTGAGGAAAAATAAAGCCTTGCTTAAAATAAAATAGTTTCATGACCTGTTGCATTTTTGTTACAAAGCTTTAAAAAAAAATAAATTCAGAAACTCTGTGTGAAGAATGTCCTCTGGAACACTGTAATCCTTATTGTTGGGAAAGGCCAGACATTAATGTACATCAGATTAGCATTATAAGGCTTGGTATTTTTTCTCCCTTTGCAGAAAAAAAGGTCTGCAGCTGCTTCTAGTCAAATAGCATTCTACAGCTATGTTGTAAAAACAGGGATTTTGTTCATTACCAGAGCCTATTCAGTCATTCTCCACAGCAGCCACAGTCTGCGTTGTCACATGCCTCCCATGCATTGATTCACACCTGTTTCTCATCAGCAGTGCTTATGAGGCTAAAGGCTAAATTCACATGTTCCCTTTGATAGGCACAACGAGGTAGAAAAAAAAAAAAAAGAAAATTGCAACATTATACCTTGGTTCTCACTCCATGAACTTTCAAATTATTTTCCAACAGGTCACACAGAAATCTTTATAATGGCTCCATTATAAGTCTGATTAGCTTTGTGCTTTCATGAAATAAAATGAAAATACAGTAATTATCAGTAAAATCCATTGAATACTGTTATAGCAATTAATTTAAAGATTTGAAATGATTAAAAATGCAAAAAAATCAAACTATTTTCAAATGTGAATTTTACAGAATATTTTAGTAAGGAAACCCATCAAATTATGCAGTTCACAGTAAAAACATATATTCCAGTGTTTTTTCAACTTAAAAGAGAAATATTTTTGAATAATGCATACCAATGAATATAACTGAAGTGATGTTTTATCTTATAATTAATATTCAGAAAATGAAATCAATAGCAATTGCGAACATTATACCGTACATTAAGAACAAAGTTTTTGCATATAAACGTACATTTCAAAAATATAAAAATTAAGTGTCTATACCATATTATAACAACTCCCACCAAGGTTTTTGCAGCTGCTAAATTTTTCTTTGATTTCTATTCGTAGGCATTCCTGTTGATGTAGTAGTCAACATTTTTATTAATAGTTTTGGATCCATACAAGAAACAACCATGGTAAGATGATAATTTCATATTCATTATTCCAAAACTTTCAGTCACAGGACAGTGTAAACTATTAAAGTTGGAAAATAAGGAGTGACTGTGAAGAAAACTGCATGCAATCTAGCATGAAAAATTACAAATCCCCAAGTTGTGTTGAGGAAGAGCTTTCAGCGCCTATGTGATTTTTCCATTCAAATTCAGCCTTGGAACTTCCAGGCTTAGGAAATATGTATTCCCTCTAAAAATTGTATGCTGTCTTGGGAAAGAATTTATGTACCTAAACACTCCTTCTCTCCTTCCCTTTTTTCCCCTCCCCCTCTCTTTCTCTCTCTCTCCCCTCTCTTTCCCTCTCCCCTCCTCCTCTTGCTCCCTCTCCCTCTTCCTTCCCTCTCCCCTGCAATTCCTCTTCCTTCCCCTGTCCCTCCGTGGGTGTGCACATGTATGTGCCTGTGGACTTCCTCAATTACTCTCCCCCTTATTTTTTGAGACAGGCTCTCCACTGAACCTAAAGCCAACTGATCAAGCTAGAATGGCTGATCAGCAAGCCCCAGTCATCCTTCTATGTCCTCCTCCCCAGTACTAGGATTACAGATGTGGACCACTGTGTTTGGCTTTTTATGTGGGTTTTCAGGATCTGAACTCAAGTCTTTGCTTTCATGGCAAACACTTTATGGAGTGAGCCATTCCCCTAGCCCCCAAGAAACCATTCAGAAGAGACCCCTTGAGCCATTCTCCAGTCTATATGAAGTAATGAAAACTCTTAGGAAACATTCTTTCCTTTTAGTTTTTAGATGTATGAATTTTCAGATAAAGTTTTAAGTTTCTGGGAGGAGATTTTTTTTCTCTTTTATCCTAATTTTGAGGGAGTTAGAATGAACATAGGGAAGAATTGATTTTCATAAAGTGTACCTGAAATTCCTGGCAGAGTAACAAGTACAAAGAAGGATGAAGAGGGAGCAGTACCTGTGATCTAAAAGAGAACAGAAATTTGTAGATTATCTGAACTATGAACATTATTATTGATGAGCCATAAACATGTCTTCAAAAGTCCTTCAACAAAATCTAATATGTGTTCAAAAGTTTTAGATGAGCAGGTAATCAAGTGGTTTCTTCCCTTCTTGAAAAACAAAATACTGAAGTAATACTTAAGGGAGGAAATAAACATTTTCCTTTGTTTTGTGTTATTGTTTTATTTTTTGAGATACCTATTTCTTTAAGTGATGCTAGCAGGTTTGATTGTAATAGTAGTAGAACTACTACGTATCATATAATCTTCTAGAATATCTCAGGCTACAGAACAAATTATCTAAAGTAGTCACTTTTTTATTTTTAGCTGCAGAGCTATATATTTTTGTATAGTAGAACACTGTGTGCTGTAATTACTTTCTGACAGTTATAGTAACAAATGTGGTGGATTTGTTGTTGTTGAAGTACATATTTCAGCATATGTAAGCTCCTGAGCAGTTGATAGTCATAAGAGAGAGAGAGAGAGAGAGAGAGAGAGAGAGAGAGAGAGGGGAGAAGAGGAGATTTGGGGATTGAATCCAAGTCTCACACTTAAATGGCATAGATATATATTATAGGTCTCTAAAACACATTGTTTTATCCTCCTTTGAAATATACTGTCATTTGTCACTTGGGAGAAAGGTGTGATGCTCATTCATTTAAAAGATGTTTCACCCACACAAGCTCTTCATTTCATAAGAGTAGGTGGTTTCTGGAGGTGAAAATTTGAAAATTTGAGGGTTCTGTTTGATCTACTTGGTCTCTGCACTCCACCTCTGTTCCTTAGCATTCTTTCTTGGCCTCTGGAGCTAATTCTAAAACACTGCTCTTAAGAGTTAATGTTCTTTTGGAAATATCCCGATTCTTCATGTTGTACATCTTGTCTCCAAAAACAAGTCTATAATGTCTGGGGGCATATAACTAAATGATCTGTTCATTGATTTTTTTTTTTCATGTGCCATCACTCAGTAGATGAAATAACCCAAATGTTTGACTCTGAGCCTCATTTATCAAGTAGATTTGTTCTACCATGTCAGTGCTGTATTTTGCTCTTAGTGGAGTTGGCTTCTTAAGTACCACAAAATTTTAGAGGTACATCATTTGAGGATATCATGTTTTACATACTTACTATGGAGATTTCATAAATATTGTTATTAGACAGGAAAGGACACACACACATGCACACACATGCATGCAGGCACGCACCCACGTACACATGCACGCGAAAATAACTTCTGAGAAAAAAAGATGGAGCTAGATAGACCAGTCATTCATTTTTTTTTTTATCATGAACAGAAGTCATAAACTATAGAGATGACTTTGGAGTCATTCAAGAGGATGTTCATATAGGAGTATTAGCTTTTGAGGCTGCTCATTAAAAGCAAGCTAATAAAAATAAAACTGTCCCCCAAGCAAGAAGTGGGGAAAGCAAAAAGATTAGCTCCATCAGCATGTTGGTTACATATTCATGACAGTGAGGTGCTGAATAGTTGACTTGTCACCAACAGACTTGAACTTGAGCCTCCCAAGTCCCTTACAACAGGAGAGACTAAAATACAGAGTGACAGTGCTTTTGCCTGCCCCCTAAAGTTCCAGCGATAATCATTTATTCGCTTGTCCCACTATTACAAAAGTTAGAACATCCCCAAGTACTGAAGAACCTGCAATAACTTTGATGTGCACTTGGGGTTTTGTTAATTAATGGACTAGAAACTTCCCTTTGAGATGCTGCTGAAACAAAAGAAACATTAGCATTTTGAAAGTCCAACACTTTACTCACTTTAGAGATTTTCAGGATAGACAGGCAGTTGCTCATTCAAATCTCAATGCAAGACATGGAGCTGGGGGCTGGATAGGACCTTAATAGCCACTAGTCAAATGGCAGACAGATGTGGGGCAACTTCTGAAAGGAGAGGAGTGATTGTTTCCTCCAGTGCATGAAATTGGCATGGCAGCCTTTGTCAGGTTCCTTTAGCACTGCAGGGGTAGGGTGGGGTGGATTCTCCCAGGTTATTCATTCCTTTATTTTTATATTGGGTGCCGCTGCCTAAACTGAAAGTTATTTCAACTTATTTGGAAATCATGGTTGTGCAGTGAAGGAAACACTGGACCCATGTCAATCTTCCCCATGCTGTTTCTTATTTCTGTGAATCTGTGCTCTTTCTTCGTGTTCTGTGGCCTTGCTCTGTGACTCTGTTGTTCCCTACTTCCAGTGTCCGTGTGGTTCACTGGCATTCTGCTACCTTCCATTGTTATAAGCTATCATTACAGATGCCATAAATGATAATTGCTGACACAAATAGCAACATTACACAGATCAACAAATAAATATTACCACCCCAATATGAAATTTCCCGAAGGAACGATTCTGCTTTGACCACTTTTCTGTGGTACTGTTAGTGGCAAATGAAGTAAGAGCACTCAAAGTAGTGAGAATTTGTCTAGGGAACATCTGATCTACAGTCACACTCTTAATAGTTTTTATTTTTCTGTTTGTTCCCTATTGTTTGCTTAAGATAGTGGGTTTTCTTAAATGAATAGTGAACCATTACCCACTGTGGAAAATTGAGTATCATAGTTGATTGTAATAGTCTACGCATGAGCACTCTGTCTCATGAGAAACACACAAGAGCTCCTTCATGGAAATAAAAGCCTGTTTATACAATCCATTTTCTTTTTTTAGGCCTTCTTTGTAATTATATTGAATTATTGCTATGCTACAAATCATGATCCTGTCAGGCTTTCTATGCCATTCTGCTGCATGACTTTCCGTTGTTTTAATAATAGACTTCAAATCATCCTGGGCAACACAGCTGTGCTTGTCAAGAAAAGGAAAATCATGTTTGGGATCAGCTTAAAGAGCTTATTTCTAATTCCTTCCAATTGTTCATCTTTGTTATTTGATTTTATCTTTTCTTGTATGTATAGATTTAAAATCTATTTTTAAGTCCATTCTTTAAAATCCATTTCACTGTACTGTTCTTTACATTTTGTTATTGCTTTTCCAGCATAGTTTTATTTTTTAAAACTATTAGACACACTTGTTTTAATTTTTCTTTACTTTTCATCATGATCAACTTTGTGTTTCACCTTAGGTATAAAGTCAGAAGTGATAAAATCGTTTTCCTATTTCTTCCTTTTTAAAGCAAAGATCTCTCTTTCTCTCCCCTCCTGTGTGTGTGTGTGTGTGTGTGTGTGTGTGTGTGTGTGTGTGTGTGTGTTCATGTGTATGTGCATGTGTAAGTGTATGTATGCTACAGAATGTCTTTGGTGGTCAGAGGAAATTGTGAAGGAGTTGGCTTTTTCCTTTGACCATGTGGTTTTTAGGGATCAAGCTTATGTCAACAGGCTTAGCAGCAAGTGGCTTTGCCTGCTGCACCATATCTCCACTCCCTCATTTCCATATTCTGAATCTTCAAAGTTTTCCCTTGGGTATACCAATGCTGCCCATATCCAATGAACAAGAAAGAGGATATGATGGTGTTCATGGAAAAGGAGTTGTTGCAGATTCTGTTAAATTCATGATCTTAAGAAAATGATTGGGCAGGTTCATTGTAGTGGTCCACTGGAATCCATCAGGGGCATAATGAAAGAGACAGGGAAATTAGAGGCATTAATCAGAAGTGCAATAGAGGAAACATGGATTGGAATGCCATGTGGAGGAGCCATGACTTAAGAAATACAGGCAACTACTAGAAGCTGAAACAAGGGGAAAGGAATTATGACCCCAACTCCTATGAATGAACCAGCTCTGTGGTCAGAAAGCTAAAGTTTCTACCTGGTTATTTTGGTCTTCTAAGATATGGAACATATATTTGCCCCACCACATTTTCTGTCATTTTGTTATGACAACAAATAGGAAACTAATATGTATTTTCCTGTATGTTTGCAAATAATACTTTCATAAGCCTAAATTGTGCTAGAGGAATATGTGGTTAAATAAAACTTATTCCTTGTCCTGCTAGATGTTTATCCAATGATGTCTGACTGTCTATGTGCCAAGTACC